TATTTGCTCGTACATTTTGATGTCTATCTGCTGATGAGGTTAGCTTGAATTTTTCATACAAAATAGCTTTCGAATTTGTAGTTTTTAACAAATATTGGCGAAGTGGGAACAGGCGTTTCGTCTTTTTACAATCTTTAACAAGCTCGAATGTGCTCAAATACCACCCAAAGTACATATTTCGATGTGCCTTGAACCTCACAACATGTCCGAAGTATTTGGAATAAAATTCCATCGCCGAGCTGATGTTACGAGATAGAATACTCTTTTCGTCCAGGCGTCATTTATCAAAATATTTCAAATGGAAGTAATAAAATGATTCTTTTTAAACTATTTAGCGTTCATGAAAGTGTGGAAGAGATAAGAGAGACTTTTCTTCCAAAACTTCTACTTTAAAGACTAAAATCCAGCCTTATTCTGTCATTGTGCTGCTGTATGGATAATTTTTCGACCATAAAAGACCGGTGCATTCACTTATTTGTTTAATGAAAACTTGATAAAACGAAGGTTTGCTAGTAAAACTGATTCATATAGACAGGAGACCATAGTGAATATGCTGGTGCAAACCTTGATCCTTTATGATATCTACATAATAAATGGCACGCGAAACCAAAAAAGTCAACGTGCTGCACAGTCAATTTTTCTGGACACTGTAACAATCGTAATTAAACATGTAATAAAATTCTCTGTGATGAAATTATTCTTATTTTGTCCTTTTAATTGGGTCTCATTGCATCTGATACTTATTTTGTCCCTTTTGTTAGTATCATTCTGTTTATTACATAACTATCTGTATTTTTCAATATATTTATATGCTGATTATATGCTTTGTAATTAGAACAGCTATTTGCCTATTAATTTGTGAATAACTTATTATAAAGATGTTTTTCGAGCAGTATATCCCAGTTTGTGCCTAAAACTGGCACTGGTAAAATTTTATTTTATGAAAGTCAGTTTTTGTACTCGATGACCGATCTAATTATATAAATGACCACCTTTTCGAAAAAATAATCAATATCCATAAAACAATGGGAACGATCTGACCATTGCATTGTTTTATGGTCTATAAACCAAACTACCATTTACCCTTATTCAACATTAATTTTATATAGGAATTCAATATACTTTTTTTACGTAATAAATAATGTTTCCTATACAGACAAAACGTGCTGGGTCAAACCAGTTTAAGCAAAAGTTATTGAATTTAAAACTAGTTATAAAAAATGATGCAGAAGAAGAAATAACATTAGAACCAAAGAACAGGAACTAGTTAAACGTAGTTTAAAATATAATGATGTATCATTTTATGTCATCATATTCATCAATTGATTTATCATTTCATTGTAAATGATTAAAAATCTATCCAAAACTACCAAAATCAGTATTAGATTTTATGTTAATTGGAAATTGAAGTAGTGATCTTCGTAACGATGTTTTTGTTATCATAGATATAGCTGAGAATGATACACTATTTTATTGCTATTTATATTTATTTAGTGATATTCAATTTCACATGAGCTACTGACTATCTTTCAGACGTTGATACGTGGCATATGTTGGTACATATAAAAGTGGTCTATTAGTATTTGTACAATTTTATATTATACATAGTTCTGGAAATGATACCAACAATGTATGTATTGCATTGACATCGAATAAAAGTGATAAAACATATGAACGAATATTTGAACCAATTATCGAAGAAGCAAATAAATCTAATATTATTAGTGAACCAAAGGATGTTGTATCACGTTTAGAGCTAGCAGCATTTAATGCATTGAGTAGGATAATTATAAATTGTGAAATTTGTGGTTGTTTCTTGGATTATTCACACAGTTTGTGGAGATACATACAAACAAATGGTTTAACTTTATACTTAAAAGTTGGCGATTCAAAATGAGAATCGCTCCGAATATTTTGTTAATCAGAAACTTTTGTCAATTAGTTTCGTGATGCAATTGATTTAACATTAATACCATTAAATAATGTTAATGAAACACAGACTGATTCCGGCAGCCATAGAGTTTAATAGATTCATGTGTTAATGATGATGGTACATTTCCACGATTTATTTGGAATGTTTATGCTTCAATTGCTAATGAACAATCTAAAATATATATTCATATTGAGAGTTTTCATAATCGAAGAACATTTTGGTATACAATTCAATAAAGTGGGCTACTTTTGGTATTTTAAGTTTTAGTTGAAAGGCTTTAGAAGAAATATAAGTTATAATATTTGAAGTATCAGAATATCTGTCTTCGCAAAAAACTCCCCATCTATAAATGTATTCGAAGACTAATAGGCAAAAATGGGTTATTTCATCTAATATAGGTTTTCACTAGGTTGTTGGAGGTTTTTTGAAAACAAATATTGCTACGAGATTCAGCGTGGTTGATTACCTATGTTTTCATCATTTTCAGAATTACCGCACCTTAAGAAATGCCTTAGACTCTCAGCCAATTCGATGCCAAGTATGAACCGGGAAAACTCAAGAGTTCGCTTAGTTTCATATTTTCAAGAGGACACTTTGGACTATCTATTTATGGAAAAAAATTGATATTGCTATCTCAGTTTCCGGAGATCCGAAGTGCTTTGCTAAAGGTCTTCTTCCGAATAGTTTCGGAAAAGAGTTTTGCTTATGAAAACATACGTTAAACTGTCTGATTTCGATTGTTGAAAGTCGCAAGTCTATCTTTTTATCGTTTTGAAATTATTCGAAAAACAACCGAGTGCCTTGAATTTTGGTGTCGATAGTAGGTATATCCGACTGTTGGTTTTTAACCAAAGTCTAATTCTTCTGACAGCATGGTTCACAGTTCGGATCGCGCTTTTCGGCAGAGATGAGAAAACAGTCATTAAAGCACAAAATATAAGCTAATACAACCTTCGCTCTAAAATTGACTCACATCCTTAGAGTGTCACTTCGGTCATAAGTGCACACACTTGGAGTGAGATTTTTCCCCCTTGAGAAAACCTCGAATTGATGAAAAGGCATATATTAGCTTAAGACTGGCTCGAGATCTTATCCGTGTTGTAGAATGGACTGAGAAGTGGAAAATCCCTTTGAATCCTATGAAGTGCGAAGCAATAAGCTTTTCTACCAGACAATCGAGGAGCTTCACTTTTACCCTTCCTGTTTTATCACTCCTGGGGGTAGTTTTATCTGAAAAAGATTTTGTTAAATATTTGGGACTTTATCTTTCATATGACTTGAAATGGGACAGACATATTGATAATATTGCCTGAAGAGGGGAAACACTTGTTGGGCTGATGAGACGACACTCTAGACTTTTGAATAAGGCGGTTCTAGACCTTATTTATAAGGCTTTTGTGCTTTCGCTTTTTAACTATGGATTATTCTCTTTTACTACTCAGCAGAATCTAGATAAACTGGAGGCTGTACAGTACCATGCTTCTCTAGTGGTTTTGGGTGCGATGAAAGGTAGCGTGGAAGAGAAACTTAGGATTATATTAGATTGGCTATCCATTAAAGATCACTTTCATATCACTCAGATCATTTTCTGCTCTAAAATTATACATGGCCTTGCCTCAGAATATCTGTGATCTCAAATTCAGCAACAACAAACTAATATTGTACATAATTTAAGAAGTAACATGCAACCATGATGCAACCTGCAAATACGCGCCATAGCTCTTTTTTTACTCTCCTCTCTAAGAAATGGAACGAATTAGATCCAACATTATACTTATTAAAGCCGAAACGATTACGTAAAAGCTGAAACAGAATGCTTTGGATTTGCGAAACGAATCCCCTTTTACAGAAAGCCTCATTTTCCCATCACGTCAGGCTGAAATACTTTTTATGCGATTGAAATGTAGAAATTCCCAACTAATTGCTAATTTACACTCTAAAAGATGTGTTTCATCCCCTCTTTGTACATGCCGGAGAGCTAATGAAACAGTCAAGCATTATTTATTAGATTGTTCAACGTATGTTTTAGAAAGAACGGATCTACTATCCGATCTGAGCTTCCTACCTTGTGTGTTGGTGGCTAGTTTATTGGGAGCTCGTAGGAGATGTTTGGGCGAGAGTCAAATTATTCTGAAAGAGATATGCCGTTGTATACTAAGGACAGTGCGATTCTGAGAAGTTTCCGTTTCCTCTTACTGCCAGTGCAAGTAGAACAGTAGAAGTGAATATCCAAAAACCCGAATGACCATCTCTTGCATGAGCTTTCTCTTTCCCGTTTTCTTCCGTTCTCCTTTTAAGCTCATTATACGTTCTCTTTTATACATTTTAAGGCGCACATATGGCGAAATCCGCTTGCGCAATCGTTCTTTTTTCTTTTTCAATAAAAAGCTTAAATAAAAAAAAAATATTTGAAGTATCAGAATATCTGTCTTTTCGAAAAATCCCCCATCTATAAATCTATTCGAAGACTATGTAGTCTATCAGCCCGTCCAGGCGTTATGGACTTACGCTTTTTTTTAGTCCGTAGCAATTTTTTCTGTAACGGACGATTCTGTGGGGCCGGTCTTGTGTCAGCTGATAGAGCTCGGTGAGTTCTATTTGCAGTCAACATATTGTGGGTTTCAGCCAAGTGGCACGGTTTTTATACAAATAATATTGAGCGTTATGGACTTAAAAAAAATAGAAATGAATGTAGAGCAGAGTAAAAACAGATAATAAGTTTAGCGAATAATGAGGTTCTTTCAAAAAACCTTTTCGTAGCAAATGTAGCTGAGAATTGAGCCTATATAAAGCAAAAAAAGATTTGTCTCAAAAGTGTTTAGTCTGGCAGATACATCAAAAACAAAAACGTTACGGACCTACGCAAAATTTTTCATCTATTTTGGGCAAAAATGCATTCACTCTAGTTCTAAACCAAAGAATGCCAATTTTTAATAAACTACGCCAACGTATTCAGGAAGCATTGTTTTCTATTCCACACATCTAAATAGTCCATAAACTACAACAAAAAGCAACTCTTTCAAACATTATTTTTTATTTGTTTTTCTGGTGCTATTTGATGATATAATTAAAATGTCATCGTAAATTTTTCTTTACTATTTGAATAATAGCAATATTCAATAACATCCTTTTTCACGGCTTTGACACAATGTATTTGCAATGTCTTATTGACAGGTTTTGTTTTGCTGAACAGCTGTTTCAATTGTGTTTCGGATTTAGCAATTTCAGTTGTTGTTATTTCACATAATATAATATTTGGCGTTTTCTCTTGAGCTATTTTTGTAAAATCTTTGGCATTTTTGCACTGTTTATCAGCCATTATTTCACCATAAACTGTTCTTTTTACCGTGCCTCCTAATCTATCTACAGCTCCTTTACCATGACTCATGGCGAAAAAGTGCCACATCAAATGAAGCTGATGACGTTCACCAATGTGAGTAAGACTGCGAAATAAAAAATTTTATTTAAATTGAGCAGCTGCCCCATCTGGAAAAAATTGTATTTGTTTCAATCTTGGTAAATATTGTTTCATTTCGTTAATCAAATAATAAATACAAACATCCACACAACATTTGCTGTGTGTTACATCGTCAGATGATAACGCAGAAGAATATTGAGCACCATCACATCATGAATGAGCCGTAAATATTGAAATAGATTTTCTGGACCAACGTGCAGATTGAATTTCATTCTGTTCCCTTGTTTGAAAATTCTCCGAATAGTACACCTGAATTACTATATTTTCATCGTCGGCTTCTTGTTTAATTTGTTTAAAATATTGACTTTGTTGTCGTTTTGTCCATACGTGTACCAAATAATGTTTGGTCGTTATAAATTGATTAAAATTACCTTTGCATTGTCCACAAGCAGATATCATACATTTATGATTATTTTCATCACAAACAAGGCGAGATGTGAATGTTGATAAATCGTGACAATAATTTCCATTAACATGTTTTGATAACGCTTGTAAAATTAAATTAATGTTTTCATATATAATACAAATGCATACACGATGTGCCAATGTGGATTTATATAACACATTTTTTGGTCTTAATTCGGCAAATTTTGAACGCGAAATTTGAACTCCTGAAACAGGAAGAATTAAAAACAAAACCACGGATGTCGCGAAAATCAGATTGTATACCTGGATTGTCATTTAAAAATAACTGATGAATTTCCCGTATATCGAACAGTAAATGACGCTTGTACAATGCATATTTTACACCATTTCTTTTTACGGCTATTGTATCTCGTCGTCCTGGTGCTTGGTACGAAATATCATCACGCTGATACATTTCAGCAATATTCTGTTTTATTTTATCAGGAATTGTTTGTTATTGACGAGGATAAGTGGGCTTAGATAATAAATTCATTGATTGGGTTACACATTTAATAATATCGTATTGTTTTGCTAGATCTTGAGGAAACGCATTCATTAGTTTCTTAATAGCTTTGAAAATAGTTTGTTCGTTTTATACGTTGATGGAAGTCTACTTATTTTTGTTGGTTTTTTCCTGTTATGATACAGTTGTTGATATCGTTTGTTACAAGCATTATACTTTTTCTTGTCATTACCTTTTAAATTTCTTCGATAATTTTGTTTCCTGACACCATCTTTCTGTCTGAGTGCAAGATCTAAACCTTTTTTTTTCAATTGGCGCGAAATTTTCTCTGCCTATTGCCATTACTCATTGCCATATCTCAAATAAATCTGTCTGATTATCGTAAAATGTTTCAAATATAATAACTTTATACCTAAAAGGGATGGCGTTCTTATCTTTTTTTAAGAAAAATTTAACTCCTTCAAACGTAAGTCCGTAACGCTTTTCCCAACGAAATAAAAAAGGAAAAAAGAAAACTTTTTGTGCTATCAGATAGAACAAGCTCTGTTCTTTTCTACAGTTAAACTCAAATTGAAATATACCATAATTATGACGCTATTACTAAAATACTGAATTTCTCGTTACGAACTTACGTTAAAAATGGCCAAATACAGTGGCCAAGTATACACTCGTTTATGATGCAAGAAATTTGTTGCGCTATAGAAATATAAGATAAATTTATCATCCATCTTAGTAGCTATTACTTGTTTTTAACAAAAATTATATAAAGTTTTCGTAAAAATTAAAACAGACAAACAGTCATTAGACATCAAATTTTTCTTCTTCTTCTTCCTACAGTAAGCTGCTAGTATAATCTCAGCCGCGTGACACTTGAATTGGCCTAACATTTATTTTCATGTAATATCGAAGCTGTTCTGTAAGATAGACCACTTAAATTTTTCTAAAGATACTTTTCTTCTTTGGCCAAGCAAGCAGACAATTACGTGAACAGGCCGATATACTGTATAAGAAAAGGGTTATGAGTTAAAACAAAATACATCAATAAATTCTCGAGAAATCTCGCATCTTTTTATCATAAGCAGAAAACTGTCGAACTGATGGAAAGGCATAGATTAGCTGATTACTACAGGTCGCTTATTTGCCAATCCCATAGTTTTGCAGCTTAGGAAAGTTTTGAAGACTAAGACATCGTGATACCTCAAATATTACACCAAGAATTCTCAACTAATTTCAAAACCAAATACATCGTTTTGTAGAGAATGACATTCTGCATTTTTTGGAAGGGATCAGCTTTTAATGTTGACAAAACATCGTACTTCTTGAATCATTTTTAGCTACCCAGGACAATGATTACTACAGCGGTAAATGGCAGTATACTACAGTTTATGATGATGGATACTGTAGTATACGTCAAAATACGAGCTGTTTACGACGAAATACGATGCCGTCTACCGCGGAGAAGGATTACGACGTCGTATTTTATCTGGAATGGATATGTATTTCGTCATATTGCGACGTATAATGTAGACATAGGTTGAGGGCATATTTTGGGGGGTGGACACCCCCTTAATCAAGAAGCATCATATGTAGCATCTGCATGTATAGAAAATACCACATATGATGGAATGAAATGGGTATGTAATCCAGATTATCGCTCGACTAAAAGTAAACGTCAGTGCATGCATGACAGAGGTTCGTTTTGCTGCCGCAATTATTAACGGATAAAAGAAAGGGAAATGGCAATGTGGACAAAACACACATAAAAAACATGAAAAATCCTGTAGTAATAATCATGAAATTTAATCGGTGAAAAATTCTTTCTGTTTTTCTTGTTACTTAGTATTTGAACTTGATAAAGAAGTATCCTATCCACACAGTGTGCATTTTTTCAGAGGCCAGGCGGACATTTGCTACAGAAGCAGTCCGAAAGTCGATAAACACCTTTCCATAGGTTTTCAGATATGCTCTTTCCAATGGCGTGCTTTACAAACTTCCAAGAGACTTTCATCTGAGTTCTCCAGAGATCGGCTCTCTAGAAAACCCACACATAAATACTCTGAAACTTTGTTAAGCACGCCATTGAGAAGAGCATATCTGAACATCTGTAAAAAGGTGTGTATAGACTTTCGGACTGCTTCTAGAGCAAATATCAAAATCCTTAGCCAAAATTGTCACGCTATGCTTCGACTCTAGCGTTGCGTTAGATCCAACAAGTTTTTGCTAAAAAGAACCTACTAATCATACATCATTCGATGCAGTTTCTTGCGTTGATTCCGAATATGTAGTTTTTGTTGAATAAAAACGTTTTCGAACCGAGAAAAATGGAAAATATCTGAAAAACTCAGGTTTTTTGGGAAACCCGCTGTATGCTTCAGAAACATTTGCGCACTCACCATAGATGCAGGGCATATAGGAGAACGTTCTATGAAAGTTTGGACCTTCGTTAACTTTCGCGCGCTCACTTTAATAAACTTAGCCCTTCGGAAAATCGCTTGAGAAAATGTTTTTTAATTTTCTCAGTTATCGTAAGTCTAGTTTAAAATTTTCTTTTTACTGATCTATAGCTGATGTCATGCAGATTTAAAATATATGGCGTTTTTTATTACAGCTTCATTGACTGCTGTGAAAATTTCATTTTTTTCACTTATACTACTATTTCAGGCTAATTTTTGATTAGCTGTTTTCCCGCGATACATAAATTTTGTAACAAAATTTGTTGTGTCACCAAATAGAGCATCACTTAAAGTATATTAATCACTATTTGAATCGTCGAAAAGTCGATTTTCATTTTTTCACCTAATGTCCGCCTGGATGCACACTGTGATCCAGCACCTTTACCTAGCGTTAACAGCCTCGTTTTGAAATGGGACTTAGATAATTCTAGTGAAGCAGCACTCATAGTCATGTTTTGTAGTTTATTACTCAACAACATTAGTTACACAAAGCACAGTGATAAATATTTATTTATAGAGCGATACAACGAATAAAGCTCGATTAAGATTGTTCGTGGATAAGGTGAAGTCAGTGGAATTTGTATTTGTATTATTTTAATGTTTAATTGTTAGTAGTTCTAGTTGGGTTTTTCTTCCTGTTGCTGCTGCTGATGTTTCATTGGTGACGGACATCCGTGGTAAATAATAGAATACTAAACGTTTTAATTCTTGTCTGAATATGGTTCCGGTTAATGTAAAGAGATAAAAACTTGTTGTATTATTGACGAACTGCAATAGATTTGAGAAATTATAAAGAAAATTTTCAAGATCTTTTCGTTCGTCACTTTTGACCACTGATGCTGTTAATACTGTATAGAATCTCTGTATTGAAAATGGTAATATAAACATTGTTGCAGATGCCACCTGTGCTAATAGCATAATCATTAATTGACGATCTCTATTCTTCGTACGAGAAGAAACCGCTACTGTTGTTGTTGGCAATGGAACCGTTTGTCTACCCACTAATCTCACATTACGAACTGTTAATAGACCAAAAATTAACATAAGCAATGGCGGTAGAAGCGCTAAACTGATTAATGTAGTGAAAGTATTAAATCTCTGACATGTTGGCGTTGTTCCTATACAATTGAATATTCCCAGTACCAAAGAGCCTTCAATACAATAAAACATCGGTGAAAATAATGAACATATAAGAATAGTCATTAAAATAATTGCACGTTTAGCTATTTTAACAGAGCTAAATGATCGAATTTGAACGTCTTTTGAACTTGCTACGTATCGATCCACACAAGCCAAAACAATAAACCATGATGTGAGTGTCAATGATGAAAAACTAAAAAATATTCGAAGTTTGCAATACAAGCCTAGTTGTGTTGGATAAATGGCATAGCTATCAACTATACGTGGACTAACAGCTAATAGTGCAATACAATTAGGGAATGTTGACGCAAGAAGATAGGTTGAAGTTGGATTTGTACGTAACGATTTTCTTGTAAATATCATCATAACCATTAATAAAACCATTGTCATATAACGATTTAATTGGTCTACTACAGATTGAAGTTGAGTTGTCGTCATTGGCGAATCTGATGACGATAGTTTTGGTATGAAAATAAAAACACATACAAATAAGTTCTGCTAGTACATGCAGTAAATGTATTATAGTACTTTGGTCTCAGATTCAGGATGAAAACTTGATTTTTTTCAGTTTTGATATTTTTTTCTCTTTCGTACTTTTTCTAATCAATTAAAGATATATTTGGTCTGATGTGGCTATGGTACGACAGAGGCCGCCACTAGCTACAATTAACGCTATTTCAAAGAGTGGTAGCTAGTCACGAAAATAAATAATTATTAATTCTATCTATAAATGTGACTTATCTCATCTTGATTTTTTTATTTCACTGTTACGTGTTTATTTCATTTTGACCAATCCACTACACACTCACACACTCTGGCTATCATTTACCAATAGCGTTTTGGTCAATCATTTCAATTGACTTAGCTATACGAAAAATGGATGTTGATTATGACAAGGATAATTATAGTCATGGTCATGGTGGTTTTTGACCAGGTGCTGGCCAAAAACGAAAGGAAGTGAACACATCAATTCAGGCAATGGTGAATGAAAGAAGAACTCGAGTTACACGTAGACAACAAATACCAAGGTACCAGATCCAATTGACAATGAATAAATGAATTAAAATGGTCACATCAAGGTGTTTCATCAACTTATCGTGATAAAGCAACTTTGGTTATATTTAACCTTATGTTAGAAAATGTTGAACTAACACAAGTAGAAGCAATTGCTATGGCTAGTCGATACTTAGCTCGTGGCCATTCTACGTTGGATACAATTGTGGCTTATTGGTATAGACATAAAGAGGTATATGTTGAATCAGGTACCAGAGGTGGATCATCAGGTCTACAATCAATAAGTTTTTTCACATCTTTACCTTACTTCATCATGACAACCATTGTGAATCGGCATGCTGAAGGTAAAACTACGATTATCAAAGATATTCAACAAATAATTGGTGATACATATGGTCAACAGATGGGCTATTGGCCAATATACTATCTTATACATGATAAAATGAAGCTATCATATGGTTTATTAAAAGATTGTACAAAATTATCACAGGATCCTGATCGTCTCAAACGTATTGGTCAATTTCTTATTAAATATGCTTTTGCCTTAAGTTTGGAAAGGAAAAATGAGGCACTGGTTTGTTATATGGATGAATCCTATGTGACTACCGGTCACCATCGGCATTATGGGTGGTACGCAGGTGCTGAAGACAGAAGCATTCGTACTGGTACTGGTGTTGGTAAAAGACTTATTTTAGTACATGCTATAACCACTGATGGTCTTCTTCTTCAAAAAAAAAAAATTCATCAGGCGACAGAATCATCTCAGCTGAATTAATATATGAAGGTAAAAATTCGTCTAGTGATTATCATGCAAATATGGATGGATATAACTTTCGGTTGTGGGTCAATCAATTCTTATTTCCTGCATTTGAAGCAAAATATGATCGTGACAAGAGAATGATATTTGTACTTGATAATGCTGCTTATCATAAAGAGAAAGGTGATGATTATGTCAATGTACAGCTTTTGTCCAAAACTGATATGATTAATCTTCTTTTATCGAAAAAAGTATGCAGTATACCGGTGATTCGAAATGGTCATACAATAGAATTTAAAGCTAATGAATGGAAATTGAATGGTCCTTTAGGTCCTTATAAAGAAGAACTGAGAATATACGTACAAAGTTGGATCAAACAATATCCCGAACTTCAAAAAATCTTATTAGAAAGATTATTCGAAGAAAAATATTTGACTGTGAAGGTCAATATGCCACACTTTCATTATCTTATTTTCACTCCACCATATTGTCCAGAAGTCCAGCCGATCGAATTGGTATGGGCCTATGTTAAAGGTTATGTGGCTAAAACGTTTACACCTTCCAGAACCCTTCACCAATTAGCTGATCAAACAAAAGCAGGTTTCGTTAGTGACGGAGAGAAACATGAAGGAATATCTGCTGAAATGGTATAAAATATGATTTCACATACTCATAAATACTGCAATATACTGATTCGTGATGATCCCGTATTGGAAGCGTCTGTAAATCATTTAAAGAATGCAGATAAATATGAGGAAGCAGACAAACAAGAAGAAGATGAAGATGTTGATGACATCAGCATGGATGTGTTGGATGGTACTGATTAAACTTTTATGAAACAAGGACATTTCGAACACTATCTGCACTTATTGACTTGAAAAGTATAAGCGATCAATAAAGATCTTATTTTCTATTCAAATCAGTTTTTATCTATATTAAATAAATAAGTTTTCAAAACTTAAAAAACTATATCACACCTTTTTAGACCTATATTTTTCCTTTTTTCTCCTGCAAAGTCAATTCGATAGTTAGCTAATATTATCGTACCATTTGATAGCCGGTGGTGTTCTCTAACAAACACCAGAGTATGGTCACTAAATAATAAAACAGCAATCGAGAGAAATAATTAACGAGACACACGCTTATCCTGAATTTGAGACCAAAGTACTATAGTATATTTTTTAAAACGCCAAAGGAACAGGCATTGTTAAGAGAATTCAAAAAATATGCCGTTATAAAAAAGTGAAAAACTAGCTGTACCAGTATAAGGAAATAAGAAAACAAAAAGTTTCTCCATAAAGTTATAACCTCTTGGAGGCCAGACATGTTTTAATTCAAAAATATTTTTATAAACCACATAATCCATTATTTTTACCTTATAACAATTTAGATCCTTATCAAAAAAGCTATTCCACGACAAAGCTAATCTCAAAAAAATTTCTCATTTTGGGTTACAACAGATTTTATTTTACCAAAGACGGGATCTTGTGGAAATGTCTTACCATTTACCACAGAACAAAATCAGCCACACTATAAGTTATAAAAATTAGAACTACTTGGTATCTCTCATATAGCGGTTCTTCTTTGATTTATAACTTATGTTGTATAACTTTTTATTTGCTGCTATTATTCAGGTAAGATTTAAATAAGAATGAGCTATGACTTTGATGAGACGCTCTTATCACCTTATTATCACTTCCTTATAAACTTCCTACTAAAATCCAATCACCGTTTTATTTCGCAGAACCATATACTGTATAAGGGAAGCCGTCAAAACTATAAACGAATCATTCGGATCATTTGTAGAATAATGTGAAGCGCTCCTCTGTGATATTGGTATAAGAGA